AATACCTCAAATAATAATTGTATTTTGTAGTATTAAAATAAATGATTAAAATACCTCCAAAATATCTTCTATCAACAACTTTAACAAATAATAATTTAACTTTTAAGTTCACATAATTTTTTGTAAATTGTTATTGCACTTTTGTTGGTCCATGCTGTGCCTACCTTTAAGTGGCGTGATGCTTAACTCTAAAATTCATATGTTTATAAATACATTGTAATAGTGTACTCGCCGTTGGTGGCCTAATAAATAAATAAAAATAAAAAAAATAAAAAAAATGAAAAAAATTATAAAAAGTTTTAGGTACAGCATAATTTTCTTTCGCTTAAATTTAAAACACAGTAACCTAATAAACATTGTAGTCAAAGCCACTAGTTTTTAAAAGTTAATAATCACTGGTCTACGAAAAGAACCATAGAGAACGAATTATAACATTTACACAAAAGATATGTACGCATAAAGTACTCTGATATAATTAGGTTTAAAACAGGCAAAAAGTCACCTACTTACGTGAGAATATAAACCAAACATTAATTTAAAAATGGTTACCAAAATTGAATAGAATGGCACGCTCACTTGGCAGTTTAGCTCTCAGAAAGCAATGTCTTTAACTTTTTAATGCGAATGTTTTCAATAATGTATTTTGACATTTGAAACTTAAAAGCAAGTTAACATTTTATTGTTCATTGTATTTTGTAGTATTATTTAAAACAAATTACTTCTGCACAAAAATAAATGGTAAAACAAAACGTAAAAATGTTGTCCAAGCTGTGAAATTTGCGTCAGCCATCACATCAACAGTCTTTAATAGTCCACTGTTGGACATAGGCCTCTCCATAGAAAGGAGGTTTTGGCCTACTATACCACGCTGGCCACACGGGTTGGTATAGGGTTTGTGTTAAGTTTTCCTTCTTTTTGCAGTGCTGGTGTCCTGCGTTGTTTTGCGCCCATAGTCGGCTCTTACGACACCCACGGGATGAGTTGGGGTAGTGATATTCCGTATTCTAAATCCGTCACCACACAGACAGGGTCAGCCATCACTTACCGTAAAACAACTCTATAACAAGCTCATTCAAACCAAAGAAGGTTATTTTCATATTTAAATAAGATTGAGTCTCATAAAAATATTGAAATATTAGTAAATGTACGCCATTATTTTAAATTAAACAACATAATTAAACACAAACAGCGATATTCACACATTATTACATAGTTTGGTGTCGTAAGTTTTTATAGCAAGCATGTTTGGACGCCACTCAACCATCATTAGTGGTACTATTAAATATTTAGAGTATCGTCGCCAATTCACATTACTATAAATAAATCTTGAAAAAACAAGCCACATGATTATTTAATTGTGTTTTAGTGACAGCAGACATTATCTTTAAATAATTACGTTTCAGATAATTATGTAGTCTTGAAATAGATTGGGAGAGTTCTTTTTAAATTGTTTTGTTTTACAGTAAGTGTTTAGTCACCAGATGGCGAGTGACTACCGCTGCTCTAAGGGAGGGGGGGCTTGTTGGGCTCCGTTAATCTCACTCACTGGGTGAAAAGCAGCCAAAGAATTGCTTCACAACGGTTTTTTGTGAGGCCGATGTATCACTTCGGTCAAGCCGACCCATACTCACTGCGACCTAAGATTATGATTACGCTAGCGCCAGACTTTCTAAAGGTCTAAATATAAATACTATTCTTAGTCTTTGATAAAAAGTTTGTTGTTTTTCCTTGTTTAACTTTTTGAATGCATTTATCTTTGTCTATGACTAATCCTAGTAGTGATTTATCACAGGTGGATCTCAGTGACTAAAACCAATTATTGCATCAAATGTTTATAATTTAAAAGTAGCAATAATATCAATCACTACAATATTTATTAGCACGCGTTGATGACCGTTGGTCAAACTGTGTGTCATTTAAACACTAGTCCTAAAAAATGCACAAAGAATTTTCTTTACGTATTAATAGATTCACGATTTTGTATGGCCCATAAGCTCACAACCTACTCGTATTTGGCTAGTAAAGACTGGCTGGGTATGGGTACAGTCGTGCAGGGCGTGCAACGCACGAAGGTGATATTTTCAATGGAACGGTAAAACAGATACGGCAACGAAAACGAAACATAATTTATTACGCCATGACCAGTTTCTGAAATAAACCCAAAATTTTGTAAGGTTTGCATTACTCTATAACACATAACATTTATATACATAATTTGAAAAAAAACTTCCTCTCAATGTTGTAATTTCAAAGAGGGCCACTCAAAATAATGACAACTGACACACAACGCCATCTAGTTTCAAACTAAGCAGAGCTTGTACTATGAAAGCTAAATTGACTGATAGAATATTTATATAGTGTATTTTGTAAATACATACATATTATAGATAGAAAATACCCAATTCATTTACCTTATATACTTGCTATTTGCAGAAGTTAAAACAAAAAGGATTATCGTTGCGTTTTCATAACTATCTACAGACTCTACACATGGTGTTTGTTTATGTTCTCCATAACTGTTACTGTGTACATCCTATTGAATAAATCTATGGCGTTGTATAAATTGCTATCTCGAAATTACACGGCTCCTAAGGTACAGGTTTTTTTTTTTTTTTTTTCTTTTTTTTTCTTTTTTTTTTTTGTTTTTAAAAGACAACGCCCGCATTAGGAATAAATCCTGTGTCGCGGGGGACTTTACAAACATACATGAAACGGACACAAAGAACACCCAGACTCAGAACAACAATTTGTGGATCACACAAAGTGTCGTCCCATGTGGGGTTTGAACCCACAACACTCTTACCTAGTTTAGGAGTCTGTCATAACTGATCGGTATTTGTGTTCATATTACTACTTAAGCTAGGTTATACCTGTGCATTTTATGCGCTGTGCTTAAGCTAAGTGTAAATATAAGAATTTAAGTAAATAAAGATTATTATTATGGACTGGATGACTAGTCGGCCATTAGCCCCTATTCCATAAAAGTCCTCTATTAGTTCCAATTTTATGTTATAGTATTCAATAATAAACACAATTAAATAGTTACATTATTGTCACAATCAAGAATACTTATAAGGTACTAGCTATGGCCGCGCCCGCGTGTATGTCCTTCCTCAAGAATCAACCTATCTCTATAAATTAGTTCAGCGGTTATTGATTCCCCATAAAAACTTCCACCCGCCTTTTCACACCCTTAAAAGAAAGAGATCTGGGTTAAAAACTATTCTGTCTTTTCCAAGGACTCCACTATCGCCAAGTTTCATCCAAATCGGTGCAGCGGTTTAAGCGTGAAGAGCTAACACACAGACAGCCAGATAGACAGACAGACAGACACACTTTCTCATTTATAATATTAGTATGCATTTACTATGAACCTTGACTAATGACTTGAGTGCACGGATGGCGTAGTGGTTTAAGCGGTCACCTCGCTTCCTACCGTGCTAAGTGTTGTGGGTTCGATTCCCACATGGGACAAGACTTGCGTGTGATCTGCAAATTGTTGAGTCTGTTGTTGTGTTGTTCTGAGTCTGGGTGTTCATCTAGTCTGTCATCTAGTCTCAAAGTAAGTAGAGCTTGTACTATGGGTACTAGGCAACTGATATAAATACATATACACTTTTTTTTTGCAAATACATACTTATTATACATAGAAACACCCAAACTAAATCAAACATTAAATGTTCATGTACACAAATGTTTGACTTAAGCTCGAATCGAACCCGCGTACTTTGGAATAGCAGGCCGTTACACAAACCACTACGCCATCCGGCCGCGTATGTGTGTCATGTATTAATGTATGTATATATAATATTTCAATATATTTATGGATTATTTTTGTTAACGTATAAGATCAATAAACAATAGATAATTGTTTAATCTTGTAGATAACATTATATCACACCAGTTTAAAATGATTCCAGTTCATTCAAATTAGGGTCTAATTCATAGACCGCTTTTTTTTTTCTTTTTTTTCTATTTAAAAAGACGGATAGCGTAGTTGTCTAAGAAGGCACCTCCCCGCTTCCTACTCCGCTGAGTGTTGTGGGTTCGATCCCCACATGGGACAATACGTGTGATCCACAAATTGTTGTTGTGAGTCTGGGTGTCGTTTGTGTCCGTTTCATGTATGTTTGAAAAGTCCCTGCGACACAGGATCTATTCCTAATGCGGAAGTTGTCTTTTAAAAATAAGGCCTTACTGAACAGGTAACTTAGACATTTTTAAGTTTTAAAAAGTAGCATCGACTTCAATGCTACGAGAACATGATCAATATAACAATAATAATATACAATAATATTTTCACACACCTCACACACGCCTGATCCCAAACTAGACAGAGCCTGTACTATGGTAACCAGACTGCTGATAAACATACTTATATATTTCTAAATACATTCATATTATAGATAAATTACACCCAGACACAGAACAAATGACCGTGCTCATCACACAATTATTTGTCCTGAGTAGGAATCGAACCCACGACCTCTGGAGTAGCAGTCAGGGTCACTAACCACTATACCAACAGGCCAATCCTATATTGTGATAAACTGTATTCTTCATCCCTTAATTATCACTCTTAGTGGTGGATTTTTTCTTTTAAATATGAATGGAATCAAACTTTCAAATAAAAAGAGTTTTTTTTTTCAAATCGGGTCAAAAATAACGGAGTTCTGAGGTAACTAACATAACAAATACACACAGTCGAATGATGAACCTTCTTTTTTAAAACCGGTTAAAAATAAATCTCTTTAAAACACTATAGGCCCAGTACAGTGAGAATTAAATCAGTAAATAACATTTTAATCGTCTCGAAAACATCGTTTATTGCTTCGTAACTTAAAATTAAGCCTCGTTAAGTTAAAATTTAAATATAAATCTTACATCAATAATAAATAAGGTAGCACTTTACATACTGTACACTGTACCATATCACAGTCACGTCCCTTCATAGAAATATACAAGCTATATTCCATAGAAGGCCTATCGCTTTCCACTAATCAACTGTGTTTCACATACTGGGGGTCTTCTTGAGAAGGTGGGCTGCCCGGAGGAGCTATACCATGTATTCTTCTGTACAACTGGTGATAAGGATTCGGCGGAGGCGGTGGCAGCCTCAGAAGAGGGCTCGGTAACGCGTACCTCCCATAAACAGACAGCAACGGAGGGTAAAGTCCCACGAGCGACGCGTATGGGTTCCCAAACATTGGATGTAACAAAGCACCGCGTTTGAACGCTGCCAATCTTGATCTAGACGCTGCAGTAGACCGTCTTCTCAATTTACCAGTAGTACCTCCAATAAAGACGTCATCCGAAGACGGATCAAGCATCCAGTAATTCCCTTTCCCGGGATCGTCGTAATGCCTTGGAACTTTGACAAAGCATTTGTTCAAACTCAAGTTGTGTCTTATAGAGTTCTGCCAACCCTGTTTATTCTCCTTATAGTACGGGAAATTCTTCATTATGTACTCATATATTCCGTTCAGAGTCAGTCTTTTTTCTGGACTGCTTCGGATGGCCATCATGATCAAGGCATTGTAACTGTACGCTGGTTTTTCGTTTTTCTTTTCGGGTGTCGTTGTCGAGGATCCGGGCGGGGGCGTTTCTGTCCCCGTGACGTCTAGCTCCGTGTCTGATGGGGACGGAGATCGCGATGATGCTTCGGGGAGTAAGTTTCTGATGGTGAAGCTGTGCGGTGGTGTCATTGTGGTGCGGCATGGCGCGCCGCTCGCACTCGACTGGCGTACTGTGTGAGCTTGTAGCTCCGCCTATTCACACCTCCCATGCTATGAAACCTCCTACCTCGGTACGTGGGGTGCTTTAGTACATACTACGATCAATTTTCAACCTTAGAGTTAACACGTAAAGTAAGTTTTCGTTTTGTAAAAGTATTTATGGTCACTAAGGGAATTTTTCATAGGGTTGTTAAACATAGAAATTAAAATGATCCGTCATGGCTTGTAAACAGTTTTTATTAATATTTCACGCTTTGTTTAGAGGTTTATTTAGTGCGTTGTAATTGTTAGCAGTAGAAGCAGATGTTCATACTTTTTTTATGATATAATTTAATCGTTTAGTATGGTTGACAAATTTGTGGCGTCATCAAACATGTCCAATGACGTCATTAATTATATTTACTGTTTAAAAAAGGTGGTGAAGTAATTAATTGTTGTTTTTTAGTAAAGAAATCTTTCATTAACATATGTAGTAAAATAGGTATAATAAATTACATATGTATGTACGTGAATACGTACAATATTGTAATTCATTATTCACTTTTTCACTTTAGCAACTTTAAGGTTATTTTTTATGAGAATCTATTAAATATAGTAACAATAAATAAACGAGTTGATTTTTTTGCTGCCTAGGTACTGATTAGTTAGGATATTAGGTCAATTCGGTTGTTTTCTTTTTGATAATTGATTGATATCGTAATTGTGCCAAAAGAAAAAAAAATCAATGGATATTCTATGTTTTATATATTATATATTATGATACTGTAGATTTAATATTCCTATTTAAGCAAATCGTTTTTGTTTTACGCAATAAAAAGACTTAGTTACGTTCTATTGTACGCATTGATGTTAGCAAATGTTTCTTTTGCAAATCAATAGGTACGTGTATAGCGGTTTTCGCCTATGTTTTTCCTCAGGAATCAAACTATCTCTATACCAAATTTCATCTGAATCGGTTAAGCGGTATTGATTCCTTATACAAACCATCGCCCCCTTAAAAGATGATTTCTGGGATAAAAACTATTTTATGTCTTTTCCTGGGACTCAAACTATTTATACCAAATTCTAACAATATCGGTTCATTGGTTTAAGCGTGATGAGTAACAGACAGACAGACAGTTAAACAGACAGACAGAGATACTTTCCCAGTTATAATATTAGTATGGATTAATAAGTTTTAAAATGATTAAATATTGAGCTTAAGAATACACTACATAAATATAAACTCGAAATGAAAGACGATAAACACTAGATTCTATAGGTATATATGTCCAATATATATCTAATGTGTTTTATATATATATATATATATATATATATATATACGTAATATAAGATTATAGGTCCTTAATAGATTCTTACTTTCAATGGAATTGACATGTTTAGTCATGAATACTATGTGGCGTAATAAAGAAATGCAAACAAAAAGTATTTAATTAAAAAACCTTCAAATATGTTAAAAAAATAAAACATGTATGACTTGAAAGAATATCAATAATTTACCAATAATTTTAGTGTCAAATTTTTAATTCAATTACTGTACTTTTTAAAATTGTTTACCAATTATTTTAAATCGCTTTTTGTCTTACAAACGTAAAGTCACCACATAATAATACTTTGGCAAAATAAAAAACAAATTATAAAGTGTCCGTCTGTTACAATCAATTAGCGCCATTTTCTAATTGATCAAACCTAATCAGAAGAAATCGAGTAAAAAATTTCACTTTTAAACCATCAGACGGATTTTTTGTCTGCTATTAGGTAGGTATGTACCTATTTTATTAAAATTATTAGTAAATAAATTTAAATTAATCTTAAAAAAATAAACTGACCTCTACTTTGAAATATTTTTTTTTTTATGTTGAAGGGGCCAGACGAGCAGACGGGTCACCTGATAGAAAGTAACCATCGCCGCGCATGAACGTCTGCAACTCAAAAGTCTTTTAGCAAGGAGTACGCTCTTTTCTTGAAGGTTTGAAGGTCGTATCGGTCCGGAAATACCGCAGACGATAACTCGTTCCACAGATTGGTTGTGCGGGGCACCCTTATTCATCCCGTGGGTGTTGTAAGAGCCGACTAAGGGAGTAAACTACGCAGGACAACAGCATTGTAAAAAGAAAAAAACTTGAAACAAACTAGACCAACCCGTCTGGCCAGCGTGGTATAGTAGGCCAAGACCTCCTTTCTAAGGAGAGGCCTATGTCCAGCAATGGACTGTTAAAGGCTGTTGGTGATGAAAACTCTGAGGCCCGTATTTTAAAAGGTTTCTCGGTCGTGAACCTAATCCTAAAACTGTTTTAAGTGCAGTTTTTTTTATTCACATCACACATCATTTAACAGGCCACAGCTGGACATAAGCCTCTCCTTGGAAAGGAGGTTTTGGCCTACTATACCACGCTGGCTAGACGGGTTGGTAAAGAGTTTGTGTCAAGTTTTCCTTCTCTCTGCAGTGCTGTTGTTCTGCATAGTTTTTTCCCTCAGTCGGCTCTTACGACACCCACGGGATGAATAGGGGTGGTGACACTCTGTGTTCGTAATCCGTCACCACGCGGTTTTTTTTATTGGACGTCATTTAAAACGATATTTACCGATCAAAACTTGATTGAATGACAGTTTTTTTTAGAACGATGTTGATGTCAAAATCTTCACTCAAGTATAAAATTTGACAGATTTGATCTATGTTTACGTAGGACTAGCCTTAACTGTAACTCGATCTGGCTAATAGGTATTGTCCGGAAGTCGGACCCTGTATTACCCTGTTTATTATTTCAAACCTGTGAAGGAACAAACGCTACGTCCCTCCAACACAAAGGGAGGCTTCTCTAACCAGGCGAGGTGATCATACCTGGCGGGCTGAAGCCCAACAGTTGATGTTGGGAAGTTACATGTATGGCAATGATATTTAAAGGGAGATACGTTATATTCATAATGCACGCACAATATATTTGTTCCGTAACCGTAGGTACATAGATCTATTAATGCATTTTAGAACAAAACATACACTTACCTGCGGTATGATATGCCTTTATGTCATATGTTGTCATTATGTCATACCTTTTTGTTATAATTTATGCACACTGCTCATTAATACACTGGCAAAAAAAAGTTAAAATAAAATCATGGCTACTAACGCTCGACTATACACAAATCGAAAACTTGGTGCTATGAGCACGCCTATCACACACACACACATATATACACACAGCCACACACACACCCACACACACACACACACTCTTAACTTTATTCTTATTATATAGTTGGTAAAACAAAATAGGTGAAGACACTGTTTCCTGTAGCATAGGTTGTAAACCTTCCACAGGAATCAGGGTCCTAATGTATTGTAACAATGGCTATATCAATAAAATTATTATTATTATTACTTATTATTATTATTTTATGAATTTTCTCACATTAATTAGAACGTGCGCTTGCTCGCAGTGGTCCTAATTAGGACCCTCACGTTTTGTGCGTTGTTGACGTATCTATCTTTTGTTTGTATACAACATCATTGATGTAGGATATTCGGCTTTAGAATATTTCATATAATTCGCGATGTAAGTAGAATTAGCAGTTACCCCATAGTTCGGAGTGTTTTCGTTAGATCGAACAGAAATATGTTTTTTTGTTTCTTTATATGTGGAAGTCGATACAAACCAGTTAGTAATATTACTACCATATACCTATATCTCAGTATTTCTTTGTAAATTCTGTACGGTTTGATGAAAACTCCACCCACGCGCCACGCCCATCCTCTCTTGTTTATGGCTGCGGGCTTGTGTGTGTCTGTGTGTGTGTTTGTTTTATGTTGTTTCTCTAACACCATGGCGTTGTATATATGTGTGTTAGCTATCATCATCATAGGATAAACAAATCAGAGAGAGGTCGAACAAAATACTTTATATCTCGCTTCACGTTTTGCAAAAAGTTCAGAATAAATATGATCAGTTGATAAATTACACTCAGATACAGAAAAAAAGATCTTACTCATCACACAATCTTTTGTCCTGGGTGGGAATCAAACCCGCAACCTCCAGCTTACTAGTCAGAATAACTATACACTAGACCAACATGCCTATTAACGTTAACGTATTTTAAATCATTTGTTAATATTTTAAGTCCAAAAAAAATTGCTTTAATTCCAAAGATTATATTATCTACAAAACCAATCTCACAAAATTTGCCATAGTTTTATTATAGTGCGCCTATATGGTATTTTATTAAAAATAATTCAAGTTAATTAAAAGTAATACCCTCTTCATAGTTTTATCAAACTAGAATGCCTATATGTTAGCCCCAAACCCACCTTTTCAATAATATGTAAAAAGACAAAACCTTACATAACACCGAATGCATACATACACAGAACACAAAAAAAATACAAACACAGTGAACTGGAATAAAACCTAAAAGTCATAAATCACCCACCCTAACACCCCTCCACTTGTATAAATTCGAGCAGAAAATTCCCAAAACATTTTTTTATTTCCCGACGTGAGCTATACGTATAGAGAGTGGAATTGTAGAGATCCACAGCGACGAGCGCAACCGCGGCGCGTGTTTATACCACGATTGAGCCAATTGATACGAAACGAATACTGTTACCACACTTTTGGAAAATAGGGAGACTGCTTCAAATTTACAGATATGAGGTGGTAAAGTGCTTTGACACAGAAGATAAAAAATTAAAGACTTACTAATTTTAAAGAATACATTTTTGTAATGTCTTTACTCGCAAGTGGAAAATGCTGAAAATCATATGATTTTTTGATGACGATGTGGAAAATGCTTTCGGATCTCAATACAATACAGAACCAGGAGAAGAATAATTATATGACGAACACATTTATTGGCTGTCTGTATGTAATTTATCTATAAGGTGTATGTATTTAGAAATATATACGTACTAGCTTTAAAAAGTTGCCTCTATTCTTCCCCACAACTCAAACTATCTCCATGCCTTTTATCAG